ATTTTATGATGACTACTATTTCTGAGGTATCTACTATAATTTGTCCCCTTTCATCTCGGTTGAATTTCCTCACCTTTTGTTTGTGCATCTAGCTAATGGTGTGAACATCTTACCTTTTGTTTGTGCATCTAGCTAATGGTGTGAACATCTTGCTTATTAGTCTTTCATAAAATCAGCTCTGGTTTCCTTGCCCTTGTGTAGTTTTCTTGTCTTGATTTCTGCTCTAGTTTTTATTATTGCCCTTCTCCTATTTACTTTTGAATCCATAGCTGTTCTGTGTTGTTCTCTATCTGATTTCTCAAGATTAAGTCATTAGTATGAGCTTTACCTTCTACTCCGATATACAGAATGCTGTACTGCGATAAACTTCCCACTCAGTGCTGAATTTTCCTGTATCTCAGGGTTTTTTTTTTTTCTTTCAACCCTGGGTTCTTATAGTTTGTCTTCATTTTCTTTTTCTCCTCTTTGATCCAATTGCATTTAAGTATGCTGTTCAGCTGCAAGTGTTGGTGCTTGCTCCTACTTTCTCTTTATTGTTAACTTCTACCTTCACGGCACACTGACATGAAGACGTTTGAGCTGTGAATCAGCATGTACTCTCCCCTAGAGAATACCGTGTGGTGTGTCTCTGCATGTGCTCTAATCTAGAGAAAACCGTGTCATGTATTGGACCTTTTATGGTGGGAGAGGGGAATCTGTTTATGTCTAAGTTCCAATTCTTTTGCTTTTTCACTATGGCTCTTGTTTGTATTAATGTTCTTTCTGGTTGATCTGTCTCATGCTGAGAGTGGGGTATTAAAGCTGCCCACTTCTACTGGGCTGCCACCCATGTGTCTCCACAGGTTGTGATTAGCAGCTGCATGGCAAAGTTTGCTGCCCCAACAAAGACGTATGTTGCTAAGAACTTAACCAGTGTATAATGTCCATCTGTATCCCTGACTATTTTTTCTATCTTGAAAGCTTTTTGGTTTGATAAAAGTATTTCTGTCCCAACTTCCTGCAGCTTACTGCTCTGGGCTGTTCTCCATATCCTCACTCCCAGCCTGTGTTGAGTGGGACAGTTCCACTGCCTCTCTTCAAAGTAACAGGGTTGACTTTGTTTCTTGATCCATCTAGCCATTCTGGGAGATTTCAGTCCACTGATATTAACGGACATTATTGAAATGAAGGAATTTGCTGCCCTCTGCTAGGGGTTTTGTTTCTCAGGCTGCTTTACCCTTGCGTCTACTATATGAGACCATTCACTATCCCTGTCAGAGGTGGTTTACATTTATGAATGTCTTCAAGTGCTGTTTTCTGAAGAACGTTTTTGCCCCTCCTTCAACTTTCAGTGATTACCTTGCGAGGCAGAGGATTCTTGGTTGGAGATTCTTTTCATTCAAAACTTTCTATGTACAATTTCATTCTCCTTTGACTTATAGAGTTTCAGCAGAGAGATCTGCTGTGAACCTTACACTTCCACCACTGTATTTGACGTTTTTCTTTCTTCACGCTTTAAGAAGTTCTATCTTTGGTTCTTGTTTTTTGATTACAGTGTGTCTTGGTGGTAACTGAATTTACTTTCACACTTTTTGGGCTTCTTGGACCAGTGCTCCAATCTTTCATACAGAGAAAGTTCTCACCTACTATTCCTTTGATAAGCAGTTCATCCTCCTTTTTCTTTCTTCTTCTTCTGGAATGCCTTATGATTCTGTGGTTGGTACTTTTGAGTATTCTCAATAGTATTGCATGTCTCTTCATTTTCCCTCATTCTCATTTCTCACTGCCAGTACTTGATTGCTGTAGCTGTTTACGCTAACTTTAAGTTCAATGATTAGATTTTCAGCTTCATCCATTTTTTCTGCTGAAACCCAATAACAGTATTCTTTAGCTCCTTTATTTCTCTTTGAATAAGGTCTTTCATTTTTTCCACCAGGCTTTCTTCAAGTCCACTGATTCTTTGTTCCAATGACTTTTTCAGATTCTTAAACACCAATATGATTGACATTCTCAAGTCCCCTCAGGTCAAAAAGATCTGAGACCTTTGGGGTGACTGCAAAGATGCCTGTCCCCCTCTGCTGACACAGCCCTTTGAGTTTATTCACTGTTCCGGGTGTGGTGTTGTTGGGAGGCTACAGCTGCTGCCCTTACTCCACCCGTGCCTCCCTCCCCTGTGGGTGAGATGACTCCCTCCCCACGCCCTGGCTGTGCTTGGGTCGCTGTGAGCTGGGAGAAGGCTGCCTAGCACTTTTCAAAGAGCTTTCCTAGCACTATTCTATCTGCTCCTCACAAATGACCCAAACAAGGTCCATCTGGGATCAGTCCCCTTTGATAAATGGCGCTCAGTCAGCATTCACTCACTTCTCTACGGCAGTGAAATGGGTGTTATCTGTCCAAAGGTAAGAGAGCAACGGGAAGCCAGATGGCAAGTAAGTGGAGGCAAACTGCTCACAAATGTGCCCTCGCAGTGGGGAATGGAAGTTTCCTGCTCTGGTTTTTGGACCACATATGGCAGTGGTCGGGGTTCAGTACTTGGATGTCACTCCTGGTGATGCTTGGGGACCATACAGTGCTGGGAACTGAGCCCGGTCATTTCTCAGAGCTTCTCTGCACTCAGGGATCAATACTGGTGGCACTGGGAGGACTGTACAGGATGCTAGGGATCAAACCTGGGCTGGGACAGTGCCCTATCCACTATGCTATCTCTCAAGTATGTCTTAACTCCTGTGCTATTCTTTTGCCCCAGGATGCTTTCATTCTTAATGTATCTCCTGCCTCCAGGCCTTCATACTTGGCTCTTAACACCTACTGAAACAGATGCCTCCCAAATCTGCATATCATTCCTTTTCTCTGACTTCCAACAGAGTTTTTCTCATTATCATCCTTTCTGCTGGGCTCTCTACAACCACTTCATTCAAATTTTATTACCTTCTGGAAATGCTCTTCTCTATTTGCTTCTCTTTAACAATTACCACCACTATGTAATACATATCTTAAAATTCTACATTTCTCTTGTTTTTTTTTCTTCTTTAAATATCCTCCTCCTCCCACTCAAATCTAAGATTCAAAAAGGCAGGGACTTTTGACTGATTCCCAACACTATCCCTTGTGTTGTCAGCAGTAGCTTCGTATCTGCAGCAGGAAACAGGTCCTGCAGGCTTACCCACACCATCAAAAGAGACTTCTGACAGAGAGGCAGTCACAAAAGCTAAGGTTTGACTATACTTAATATTATAAGCCACATATATTTCCTACAACCAGGCATTTAAAGTCCTTTATCTTGAACACAGAATTTTAAATCCCTAAATGTCAAAATCTGTAGGTATTTATCCTTACTTGATTTGGTTTTGCTATACCCCTTCATTTTTTTAAAAATTTAATTTAATTTATTCATTTATTAATTAAACACTACGAGGTACAGTTGTAGACTTACAAACTTTCGTGCTTGGATTTCAGTTATACAATGATCGAGTACCCATCCCTCCACCAGTGCTCATTCTCTACCACCAATGATCCTAGTAGCCCTCCCACCCCCACACCCCATCCCCCACACCACCCCACCCTGCCTCTGTGGCAGAGCATTCCCTTTTGCTCACTCTTTCCTTCAGGGTCTTGTAGTTTGCAATAGAGTATACCTCTTCATTCTTAAACTAAACATACTTCTCCTCTTATGCAGTCTTCAAATATGAATATTTTCTTTTTTTTCATACTCAGACATTGTAAGATATCCCACAGAATCAAGAAACACACACTCTTTCCAGCTAAGTACATGTCAAGTCACAGTATCAAAATAACTCCACAAAACTTGAAAAATGAAGCCAAATGTCCAGTCTTTATTCTTTTCAAATGCACTTTGACTTTAAATGTAGGCATCTATGTCAATGAAAAACCATTAAAATTTTATACCCAATAAAACCTCTTGCCCTTCCTCTATTATCATCTAGTTCCCTTCTCAAAGTAAAAGTTTGGGCTGCTGTAATTGTCAAGAAAAAGAAACAGACAAACAAACAAACAAAAAAACAAAGTTTCTGAAACTGAAATAACTGAATGCTCTGCTTTCTATTTTTCTAGTTCCTGAGAAACACTAGATAGCAAAAATAAAAAGGTAAAAAAAAGGTAAAGGCCCTCCCGTTGATCGTCAATTTGCTCGAGCGGGCCCAGTAACGTCTCCATTGGAGACTTTTGTTGTTACTGTGTCTGGCATATCGAATACTCTCGGTAGTTTGCCGGGCTCTCGGAGAGCAAAAATAAAGAAAAAAAAATGTCCCCAGAGCTAATCTGCAGAGGTCTGGTCCTTTACTGGTTGACTCCATACCTCCAGACCCACTTGACCTTATCTGTGCAAAGACATGACTTTCCTGACCTGCTTACCACACAGAACTTTTCTAAGAATGAACTAAAACAAACAAACAAACAAACAAACAAACAAAAAACAAAAAAAACTAAAATAGTCATTGACAGGTTCTAAATTCCAGAGTAATAGTTAAATAAAAAGTACAATGATTGGATGCAGAGTGGCAGTGCAATGGGTAGGTGCTTACCTTGCCAGAAGTGGCCCCTTAGAGCAGAGAGAGGAGTAAGTCCTGAGCACAGTTGGGTGTGCCTCCCCACCCCTTATCCTTCTGTCCCCCTGTGGAAAACAACAACAACACCCAAATACCCAAAACCAAAAGGGAAAAACAAAAACATATACTGATTTTATCTAAAGGTGAAGCTGGTTGAGCTGGAGATTGCTCAACAAAAGGAAGCCTGAGTCTGACCCCTGATACCACACCCTGAGCACCACCATGAGTGAGCCATAGACAGAGCTGGGAATGGCCTCCTAAGCACCATGGCAGGTGGCTCCCAGCCAAATAATCAAATGAAAGTGAAGTTTCTCAATCAAGCCTTGAAGGACAGTAAAACAATATATATATTTTTCCTTTTTCCCAATGTCTCATACCAAGTATGCTCAAAAATAAAATAATGTTTTTAAAGATTTTTACAAATCTTTATCTTTGGGGAAATCTTTGGGGAAATACCTTTGGCTGTATTGTTCTCAGATTAACCAGGTGAATGTCACAAGGCAAAGGTGACTTCAATGGAAAGAATCCGTCCAGCAGGTGAAGGGTGGGCATGTAGACTTTCTCTGTCATTGGGAAGATGGGATGATTCAGGAAATAGTTGGTCAGATGGCTTAGGAGGGACGGGTAACTGACTGGGTGCTTCTCTTCCTCCTGGTAAGTGAAAATAAATATGCTTCAGAGTTATGCATTTGCTCTTATCCTCATATTAACTGAATAAACCAACAAACATTAATAGAAAGATATGAAATGATCAACAGTTTTGTTTCTTCCATATTAGAAATACAAGTCTTAGAAAATGCCTAACAGACCTCCTAGAAAGCCGGTTTTACCCCTGGTCTGCGTGGGACGGGCACGGAGGTCCAGCTCTGGGCAACCAAGCGAATGGCTCCTATTCCAACCAGGTACAGCCCGCCCCCAAGGGCCTGGGACCCTCTGTGCGCATGCCCAGCTAGCTCCACCAACTAGAAAGCCGGTTTTACCCCTGCTCTGCGTGGGACGGGCACGCAGGCCCAGCTCTGGGCAAGCAAGCGAACGGCTCCTATTCCAACCAGGTACAGCCCGCCCCCAAGGGCCTGGGACCCTCTGTGCGCATGCCCAGCTAGCTCCACCTCCTAGAAAGCCGGTTTTACCCCTGGTCTGCATGGGACGGGCACGGAGGCCCAGCTCTGGGCAACCAAGCGAACGGCTCCTATTCCAACCAGGTACAACCCGCCCCCAAGGGCCTGGAACGCTCTCTGCGCATGCACAGCTAGCTCCATCTACGTTCCCAACTCCTCACTCAGTGCCAGGGACTCTTTCCGGAGCCGTGGCCGGGAAATATTTTCCCACTTCACATGCCATAGGAACCATAAGCTACCTTCTTCGATGGAAACTTCTCTAGTTTAACTCAGTCACTAGAAACACAGTAGCCAATAACTCATAAGCTTATTTTAACTCACACTGCATATCAAGCAGAATAGTAACAGTGAATGTTAAGGACTAAACCACAGTTTTCACAATGGTAAAGCAACGCAAAAGCCCACCAAACTTTATTATTGAAGAGTCTAGCCCAGATGACACCAACAGTACTGCAGTGTTAGACAACTTCTCTGACAAGGAATTCAGGAGGGAGCTATTTAGGATGCTTAGGGAACTAAAAGAAACAATGGAAAGCAATGCCAATAGAAGACAAGAGGATTTGAAGGCAGAAATGAGGAAAATGCAATCAGAAATGTCAGACCTGAAAAATCTCGTAGGCGAATTGAAAAACTCAGTGGAAGGCCTCAGCAGCAGAGTAACAGCTGCTGAGAACAGAATCAGTGAGCTCGAAGATGAAGCTCAGAGACTCTCCAGAAAAGAGCAGAAAATGGAAAAGAGACTCACAATTCGGGAACAGATGGCAAGAGAAGATCGTGATGAAGCCAAGAGGGGTAACATAAGAATTATTGGAGTCCCAGAGGTACAGGAAGAAAACCTTGATGAAGAAGAAATTGTCAAAGACATCATTGCTACAAGGTTTCCAGAGCTGAAGAAAACTTGTGACCATATTCAGGAGGCCCGAAGGGTACCAGCTAGAAGAAATCCGAATGAAAATACCCCAAGACACATTCTGATAAAAATGACTAAAACCTTACAGACAAAATTCTGAAAGCAGCAAGATCGTAGAAAGAAATCTCTTACAAAGGAGCATCCTTAAAATTCACAGCTGATTTTTCTGATGAAACCCTTATGGCCCGAAAACAGTGGTGGGACATAGTGAAAAAACTCAATGAAACAAATGCCTCCCCAAAAATACTTTACCCAGAGAGACTCTCATTCATAATAGAAGGAACAATACACAGTTTCACAGACAATCAGCTCAGGAACTTCATAGACTCAAAACCGTGGTTACAAGAACAACTAAATGGGCTACTTTAAGGCAAGAAAGGCCCCTCAAATACACCAAATTTCAACAGAACAATGGGACAAAATCCCATAACAATAATCTCTCTCAATGTCAATGGGCTAAACGCACCAATTAAAAGACATAGAGTGGCAGGATGGATTAGAAAATTGAACCCAACATTCTGCTGCCTGCAAGAAACACATCTCAATAGTCAAAGCAAACACAGACTCAGAGTCAAAGGCTGGAAAACATCCTACAGGCAAACAGCTCCCATAAAAAAGCTGGGGTAGCCATCCTAATATCAGACCACATCGATTTCAGAATGAGGAAGGTCATAAGAGACAGTGAAGGCCATTTCTTATTGATCAAAGGATCAGTACGACAGGAAGAACTTACAATAATAAATGTATATGCACCTAATGAGAGACCAGCAAAGTACTTAAAACAACTACTCATAGATTTGGAAAAAGACATCAACAGCAACACAATTCTAGTGGGAGACTTCAACACTGCTTTGTCACCTCTTGATAGATCAACCAGACTCAAGCTTAGCAAGGACATACTTCACCTGAGGGAAACAATGGAAGAAAGGGACTTAGTAGATATATACAGGACACTTCATCCACAAAAAGCTGAATACACATTCTTCTCAACCGTACATGGAACATTCTCCAACATAGACCACATGCTGAGCCACAAAACATACCTCCAAAAAATTAAGAAGATAGAGATTGTATCGACAATCTTCTCAGACCATAATGCGCTGAAATTAGAAGTAAATCACATACAAAAACAGAAAACTAAATCAAACACCTGGAAATTAAACAGTGCTCTACTGAACAACGAGTGGCTTAGACAGGAAATCAAAGAGGAAATCAAAAGATTCCTAGAAATGAATGAAAATGAGGACACGAGTTACCAAAACTTATGGGACACAGCAAAAGCTGTGTTAAGAGGAAAGTTTATAGCTCTACAAGCATTCCTCAGGAAGGAGGAGCGAGCACACATAAGCAACCTAACCTCACAGCTTAAGAGCTTGGAGAAGGACCAAAAAAGGAGCACAACCCGAACAGGAGAAAGGAAATAATAAAACTCAGAGCAGAGATTAACGAGATAGAAACCCAAAAAACAATCCGAAAGATCAATGAAACCAAGAGCTGGTTCTTCGAGAAAATTAACAAGATTGATAAGCCTCTAGCAAAACTCACAAAGAAAGGGAGAGAGAAAACCCTAGTAAATCGAATCAGAAATGAAAAGGCGGTCATTACAACAGAAACTACAGAAATTCAAAGGATCCTCAGGGAGTACTTTGAGAAACTGTATGCCACGGAACATCAAAACCTCGAGGAAATGGATAAATTCCTAGACTCCTACAGACTCACAAGGCTGAACCAAGAAGACCTGGAATACCTGAACAGACCTATCACCATCAAGGAAATCGAAATGGTAATAAAAAGTCTCCCCAAGCACAAAAGTCCTGGTCCAGATGGATTCACTAGTGAATTCTTCCAAATCTTTAAAGAGGACTTACTCCCAATCCTCTTTAAGCTTTTCCATGAAATTTAAATATCAAAAACACTTCCAAACAGTTTCTACGAAGCAAATATCACACTGATACCAAAAGCAGACAGAGATACCACAAAGAAAGAGAATTACAGACCGATATCCCTGATGAACACAGATGCAAAGATCCTCAACAAACTACTAGCAAATAGAATCCAACTACTCATCAAAAAGATCATACACCATGACCAAGTAGGATTCATCCCAGGGATGCAAGGATGGTTCAACATTCGGAAATCAATCAACATAATCCATCATATCAACAAAAGAAAAGATAAAAAGCATATGATTATATCAATAGATGCAGAGAAAGCATTTGACAAGATCCAGCACCCCTTTATGATGAAAACCCTAGCCAAAATGGGTATAGAGGGGACCTTCCTCAACATAATTAAAGCCATCTACCACAAGCCTACAGCAAGCATCATCCTCAATGGGGAAAAACTGAGAGCCTTCCCTCTAAGATCAGGGACGAGACAAGGATGCCCACTCTCTCCACTGCTGTTCAATATAGTACTGGAAGTGCTTGCAATAGCGATTAGGCAAGAAAAGGATATTAAGGGCATTCAGGTAGGAAAGGAAGAAATCAAGCTCTCACTATTCGCAGATGATATGATACTATACTTAGAGAACCCAATAACCTCCACCAAAAAACTCCTAGAAACAATAGACTCGTATAGTAAAGTTGCAGGCTATAAAACCAATACCCAAAAGTCCATGGCATTCCTATATGCAAACAGTGAGAGAGAAGAAAGCAACATGAAAAAAACAATCCCGTTCACAATTGTGCCCCAGAAAATCAAGTACTTAGGAATCAGCTTAACTAAGGAAGTAAAGGACCTGTAGAAAGAAAACTACAAAACGCTACTTCAGTAAATAAAAGAAGACATGAGGAAATGGAAAGGTATCCCCTGCTCATGGGTTGGGAGACTTAACATTGTCAAAATGGCAATACTACCGAAAGCATTGTATAAATTCAATGCAATCCCTATAAGGATACCCACGACATTCTTCAAAGAAATGGAGCAAACACTCCTTAAATTTATATGGAACAATAAACCCCCACGAATAGCTAAAGCAATTCTTGGGAAAAAGAAAATGGGAGGAATCAACCTCCCAAACTTCAAACTGTACTACAAAGCAGTAATAATTAAAACAGCATGGTACTGGAACAAAGGCAGAACTGCAGACCAATGGAACAGGGTTGAATACACTGACATCTCCCCTCAATCATATGATCATCTAATCTTTGATAAAGGTACAAGTAATGTGAAGTGGAGTAAGGAAAGCCTCCTTAACAAATTTTGCTGGCATCACTGGACGGCTACATGCAAAAAAATGGGCTCAGAACTCTGCCTAACACCGTGTACAAAAGTAAGATCAAAATGGATTAAAGACCTCAACATCAGACCAGAAACCATAAGGTACATTGAAGACAAAGTTGGCAAAACCCTCCATGACATTGAAGCTAATGGTATCTTCAAAGATGCCACGCCACTGGCCGAGCAAGTGAAAACAGAGATAGATAAATGGGACTATCTTAAACTAAGAAGCTTCTGCACCTCCAAAGAAACAGTGACCAAAATACAAAGACAGTCTACAGAATGGGAAAGGATATTCGCCGAATACACATCTGACAAGGCGTTGATATCCAGGATATACAAAATACTAGTTAAACTCCACAAGAAGAAAACATCCAACCCCATCCAAAAATGGGGCAATG